TTACAGATTGTATATCATGATAATCTATCAGGCGCCTACCCCTTAACTTACCCCTCACATGTGTCTACGCCTTACAACTATTTACTCACTTAGTATAGCGGCACTTAATTTGGTTGTTAAAAATGAGAAGAGAACTGTTAATTGTGTGAGGCATACCATTTCGCAAAAATTAAGAAGGTGTTAGTAGGTTAAGAAATCGATTATGATATGAGTAGTTCTGAAAAAGCTGCAGGTTTGGCTGAACAGTTCGAAAAAGCTATTACAGATTATAATTCATGATAATCTATCAAGAACTTACCCCTTAACTTACACCTCAAATGTGTTTACGCCTTACAACTATTTACTCACTTAGTATAGCGGCATTTAATTTTGTTGTTAAAAATGAGAAGAGAACTGTTAATTGTGTGAGGCATACCATTTTGCAAAAATTAAGAAGGTGTTAGTAGGTTAAGAAATCGATTAGGATGTGAGTAGTTCTGAAAAAGCTGCAGGTTTGGCTGAACAGTTCGAAAAAGTTATTACAGATTGTAATTCATGATAATCTATCAGGCTCTTACCCCTTAACTTACCCCTCACATGTGTCTACGCCTTACAACTATTTACTCACGTAGTATAGCGGCACTTATTTTAGTTGTTAAAAATGGTTAATTGTGCGAGGCATACCATTTCGCAAAAATTAAGAAGGTGTTAGTAGGTTAAGAAATCGATTAGGATGTGAGTAGTTCTGAAAAAGCTGCAGGTTTGGCTGAACAGTTCGAAAAAGTTATTACAGATTATAATTCATGATAATCTATCAGGCTGTTACCCCTTAACTTACCCCTCACATGTGTTTACGCCTTACAACTATTTACTCACTTAGTATAGCGGCATTTAATTTTGTTGTTAAAAATGAGAAGAGAACTGTTAGTTGTGTGAGGCATACCATTTTGCAAAAATTAAGAAGGTGTTAGTAGGTTAAGAAATCGATTAGGATGTGAGTAGTTCTGAAAAAGCTGCAGGTTTGGCTGAACAGTTCGAAAAAGTTATTACAGATTATAATTCATGATAATCTATCAGGCTCTTACCCCTTAACTTACCCCTCACATGTGTTTACGCCTTACAACTCTTTACTCACTTAGTATAGCGGCAATTAATTTGGTTGTTAAAACTGAGAAGAGAACTGTTAATTGTGTGAGGCATACCATTTCGCAAAAATTAAGAAGGTATTAGTAGGTTAGGAAATCGATTAGGATGTGAGTAGTACTGAAAAAGCTGCAGGTTTGGCTGAACAGTTCGAAAAAGTTATTACAGATTATAATTCATGATAATCTATCAGAAACTTACCCCTTAACTTACCCCTCACATGTGTCTACGCCTTACAACTATTTATCCACTTAGTATAGCGGCACTTAATTTGGTTGTTAAAAATGAGAAGAGAACTGATAATTGTGTGAGGCATACCATTTCGCAAAAATTAAGAAGGTGTTATTAGGTTAAGAAATCGATTAGGATGTGAGTAGTTCTGAAAAAGCTGCAGGTTTGGCTGAACAGTTCGAAAAAGTTATTACAGATTGTAATTCATGATAATCTATCAGGCTCTTACCCCTTAACTTACCCCTCACATGTGTCTACGCCTTACAACTATTTACTCACTTAGTATAGCGGCACTTAATTTGGTTGTTAAAAATGAGAAGAGAACTGTTAATTGTGTGAGGCATACCATTTCGCAAAAATTAAGAAGGTGTTAGTAGGTTAAGAAATCGATTATGATATGAGTAGTTCTGAAAAAGCTGCAGGTTTGGCTGAACAGTTCGAAAAAGTTATTACAGATTATAATTCATGATAATCCATCAAGAACTCACCCCTTAACTTACACCTCAAATGTGTTTACGCCTTACAACTATTTACTCACTTAGTATAGCGGCATTTAATTTTGTTGTTAAAAATGAGAAGAGAACTGATAATTGTGTGAGGCATACCATTTCGCAAAAATTAAGAAGGTGTTATTAGGTTAAGAAATCGATTAGGATGTGAGTAGTTCTGAAAAAGCTGCAGGTTTGGCTGAACAGTTCGAAAAAGTTATTACAAATTGTAATTCATGATAATCTATCAGGCTCTTACCCCTTAACTTACCCCTCACATGTGTCTACGCCTTACAACTATTTATCCACTTAGTATAGCGGCACTTAATTTGGTTGTTAAAAATGAGAAGAGAACTGATAATTGTGTGAGGCATACCATTTCGCAAAAATTAAGAAGGTGTTATTAGGTTAAGAAATCGATTAGGATGTGAGTAGTTCTGAAAAAGCTGCAGGTTTGGCTGAACAGTTCGAAAAAGTTATTACAGATTGTAATTCATGATAATCTATCAGGCTCTTACCCCTTAACTTACCCCTCACATGTGTCTACGCCTTACAACTATTTACTCACTTAGTATAGCGGCACTTAATTTGGTTGTTAAAAATGAGAAGAGAACTGTTAATTGTGTGAGGCATACCATTTCGCAAAAATTAAGAAGGTGTTAGTAGGTTAAGAAATCGATTATGATATGAGTAGTTCTGAAAAAGCTGCAGGTTTGGCTGAACAGTTCGAAAAAGTTATTACAGATTATAATTCATGATAATCCATCAAGAACTCACCCCTTAACTTACACCTCAAATGTGTTTACGCCTTACAACTATTTACTCACTTAGTATAGCGGCATTTAATTTTGTTGTTAAAAATGAGAAGAGAACTGTTAATTGTGTGAGGCATACCATTTTGCAAAAATTAAGAAGGTGTTAGTAGGTTAAGAAATCGATTAGGATGTGAGTAGTTCTGAAAAAGCTGCAGGTTTGGCTGAACAGTTCGAAAAAGTTATTACAGATTGTAATTCATGATAATCTATCAGGCTCTTACCCCTTAACTTACCCCTCACATGTGTCTACGCCTTACAACTATTTACTCACGTAGTATAGCGGCACTTATTTTGGTTGTGAAAACAAAAATGAGAAGAGATTTGTTAATTGTGTGAGGCATACCATTTTGCAAAAATTAAGAAGGTGTTAGTAGGCTAAGAAATCGATTATGATATGAGTAGTTCTGAAAAAGCTGCAGGTTTGGCTGAACAGTTCGAAAAAGTTATTACAGATTATAATTCATGATAATCCATCAGGCTCTTACCCCTTAACTTACCCCTCACATGTGTTTACGCCTTACAACTCTTTACTCACTTAGTATAGCGGCTTTAATTTTGTTGTTAAAATTGAGAAGAGAGTTGTTATTTGTGTGAGGCATACCATTTTGCAAAAACTAAGAAGGTGTTAGTAGGTTAAGAAATCGATTAGGATGTGAGTCGTTCTGAAAAAGCTGCAGGTTTGGCTGAACAGTTCGAAAAAATTATTACAGATTGTAATTCATGATAATCTAGCAGGCTCTTACCCCTTAACTTACCCCTCACATGTGTTTACGCCTTACAACTATTTATTCACTTAGTATAGCGGCATTCAATTTGGTTGTTAAAGATGAGAAGAGAACTGTTAATTGTGTGAGGCATACCATTTCGCAAAAATTAAGAAGGTATTAGTAGGTTGAGAAATCGATTAGGGTGGTGAGTAGTTCAGAAAAAGCTGCAGGTTTGGCTGAACAGTTCGAAAAAATTATTACAGATTATAATTCATGATAATCTATCAGGAACTTACCCCTTAATTTACCCCTCAAATGTGTTTACGCCTTACAACTATTTACTCACTTAGTATAGCGGCATTTAATTTGATTGTTAAAAATCAGCCCGGGATGACCAAAAATACTAGTCATACAATTTCCATATATGGAAAAACGCTAGTCATACACTTTCCATGCAATTCCATACGTACAGAAAATTGCATGAAATGTCTATGATTAGTATTTTTTTCATATATGGAAATTGTATAACTAGCATTTTTCCATAAACCAAAAATATTGATTTTTTACATTTTAATTTCTCAAAATTTTTTGGCTGTGTTCGTAACCGAACACAAATGACATAAACCTTGATTACTCAAACGTAGTAACCAACGGTTTGGCCGACTCGCATTAACAATGCATTGGAAACAACCTGATATGTGTTACTTCTGTCTCAGACAATTAACATTACGAAAGTAGTGAACTTTTAAATTTTGGCAATAATTTTCAAAGATGATTATTTTTAAAATTTGAATGTTTAAATTACCAGACATTTATCAAGGCATACAAAAACATGTCATACAAAGAAAGAGGAGTCTTAAACGTTTTTGAAAAAAGTTACGAAGAGAAAAGGAAAAAAATCCAATATTAGTATATCCAGGACTACGTTATACACACAAAAATTGAATTTTGCATGCAAAATTTTTTTTTTCAAAAAATGTTTGTTTGAATACAAAAATCAATTTGCAGTTGAAAAAAAAACACAAAAAAAGTCGTCGCCATCAAAAAAATGCTAGTCATACAATTTCCATATATGGAAATTGTATGACTAGTGTTTTTTTTTCAGAAAAAAAAATAAAAAAAAGTCGAAGTTTTCAGTCGTAGCAGCCCAAAAAACGCTTAAAGGTTTTGCAAGCAGTAGAATTGATTGTTCAAAGTTTTTTTTTCACAACAAAAAATTTTAAAAAAAATTCTAATCATACAATTTCAATATATTTTTTTATGAAGAGATACCAATTTCGATACCAAAACAACTATAAAACACCTTTGAAATTCGATTAAATTCATTTTGCAAGAATGTATGAAATATGTATGACCAGCATTTTTCCATAGACTAAGTGTATGAAATTGTATGATTAGCATTTTCGGTCTATAGAGGTCACCCCGGGAGAAGATAATTGTTAATTGTGTGAGGCATACCATTTCGCAAAAATTAGGGTGTTAAAAGGTTAAGAAATCGATCAGAAAAAGCTGCAGGTATAATTCTGACCCGAGAGCCTGTCTTAGGGTTGTCCATAAAAGAATCTGTGTCGATTTTGTTGATGATATGGCTTAAATTTATTTCTCATTTGTTATAGATGCTATTTTTTAAAACTTACTTGTGATATCTTCATCTTTGTAAGACTTGCATTCTCCCTGGAAGCAATATTTCCAAATACCACCATGGATGTCAATGCCTTCATATCCGGGTACATCCGACCATCTGTAACCATAAGTAGAATGGGCAGAAAGGGAGAGTGTGCAACTGACAACAAAGAGCGCCAGTGCCGTTGCGGCGAGAAATGATTTGCGCGGCATCATTTAGTTTCTGAGGCAAATTTTCTGGTTTTTAAAACAGTTTTTTAGTTTAGTAAGAAAAACCACAATGCTTGTGTTAGAATTAGATGCTGTTTTTGCAATCAAATTTGAACGCACATGTAATTCATGAATGTTTTCCTGTTTTGTGATGAAAAAACAGAGGAATAAAAATCGCTTTGCAGACGAAAAACTGCTTCTATATGAACCAGTAAAACTAAAACAAATTTATCAAATGAAACTACCAAGTAATTGCATATGCATTTTGCTCACAGTTACTTGCATGCCAGCTACGAAAATGAAGCATAACTAAACACCATTTACAGAAATTCATTTACGAAAAAAGCATGTTTGAACACAGTTTGCAAAAGTATCGGCTGAAGTCGTGCTAGGGATTTTAGCAGACCGGTTTTTTAGCAGACCATTATTTTAGCAAAGAACAATTATAAAGTCAAATAGCTAACTTCAAACATGGCCTTGGCTATTAGCGACCAGGTTACATAGCAGTATTTAGACAACCGCGTATTCAGACTCGTCAGTTATTTAGACATATACAGTTTCAACCAAACAGAATCGAGACAAAGAAGAAATTAATAGATAAATATGATTTATTTTGGATTATTTGTGTCTTTTCTCGATTCTGATTGGTTCATACAGTATTTGTCTAAATAATGACGAGTCTAAATACAGGCTGCACTCCTGGCGACCCTTTGTTCCGCTGCGCTTCAATTCAACACGAATTTAATGTGCGCGTTAATCTTTATTTTGCCGCTAATTTAGACTGTTGTGTTTTTGAAGTTGACAGTTTTGTTGACAAATCGTGAAATACATGTCTTAATTGGGGAATTTGGCCCAGAGTGAGCGTCTTTTTGAGCCTGTCAATCAATCATCTATCACTTCACTACGTTGTTCTGCTAAAAGAATCATTTGGTGGAATCCCTCATGCGCGAAGGACCAAATGCTCAAAAATATATATCAGCCAATCAGATTTCAGTAATCCAAAATTTTGAAAGTAGATAAACATTTCCAGGGACTGGAGTTTTGATATTGACTGATTATAAAAACGGCAGAGTAATGCAAAATTTTCAAATAGTCATTGGCCGCCGCAAAACTTGGACAAATTTTACATTTCAAGGGTTTCGTAATGAAAGAAGCAAAATTTTGCTTCATTGAATTAATTTTAATTGAAAAGCAATTGCGTCTTTTTAAAATTTTACTTTCGACCAATTTTGTTTTCGCTCTTCCGCACACGAGTTTTTTCGCACATTCGGTCCTTCGAGCATTAGAATAGCCCCCGACTCATTTTTCTTTTTTTACGCTAAATGACTGGTCTGCTAAAAATGATCGGTCCCCGGCTGAAGTAGATCTTATTTTCACGTTAAGTTGTTACTTGACTAGCTGGTTTACTTAAACTGTGTTTTGTTCAAATAAAAAAAAAACATTTCGATTTCTTTTTTAATGGAAAACCTAATTGTACTGGCTTCAGTTTTCCTCCAAAAAAATTGGTTGATTTTTTCTTTAATAGTACGCGTGATAATTTCCATATCATAAATGTTAAACATGAAGTGTGCATGTATAACGCTCTCAAATTCCTAAGTATGTGCAATCCACTCAACCATTTATATTCATTTTAGAGTCTTAAAGATAAATAAGGGTAATTTAGGCAATTAAGGATAAGAAACAGGTAATCTGGATTTCAACAAAGTAAGAAAATCTGATTTGACAAGACTGTTCGTACGCCCGGGCAAAGCCTTGAAAGTTCCGACTACTATTCAGGCCAACTGAGAAGTTTTTCTTGGTTGAATAATAGAAAAATTGCCCACAAGATATTTGAAACATCGGGGTGTGTTTATTGTCTCGTATTGTGATGATAAGATTAAATTTCTAGCCTCAATAAAGTTTGCAAGGCATCAATTTGCTTCCTACGCATCCCGGGTTGACAAAAAAAGCTTATCGTACAAGTTTGATTTATCAAAAAAAAATGCTTTTCATACTCTTTCATACAATTTCATGGAGCAAATGTAAATGTAAGAAAATAGCAAAATAAACATTTTTTCATAATATGAAACTGTATAATAAGCATTTTATCCATACTATGAAATTGTATGACAAGCCTTTTTTCCATAAATAAAAAGAAAAAAAATTTTGTTTCGAAAATGTGTGTTTCAACCGAAACACTAACCAAGGATTTTTTATCGATAGAAAACCCAGTGTTATGATGGTTGAGAAAATAGGCCTGTTTTTTTTTACAATTTTATTTTTTTTTAGCAGATGAAACAAAAGATAATTATCGTGTTTGCAAAACACTTTCTGGTGATCTTTGGTTTTTTGCGTAATAAACTCATCCTGGAATACGTTATAAACACAAGAAGTCTAATTTTGCAAGCAAAATTTTTTATACTGTGAAAATTTTATTTTAGCACAAAAACAAGGTTGCAACCAAAATAGAGGTTAAAAAACTTTCACCTCAAATTTTTGTTTTTCTTTTCAGAAAAAAAACATATCATGCAATTTTCATTAAATAAAATTTAATGATACGAATTTTTCTGACCGAACAAATTATTATATTTTTGATTGTCAAATTGCCCTCTATTATAGACATAATTATTTTAATTTAATTAAAAATACCCAAACACATTTTTTGGTGAATTTTTAAAATATTTTTTTTCCATGACAAAATTAATGAAAACTGTATGATACAATTTTTTTATAAAAAAATAAAAATCATTTTTCAATTACCAGAAAGCTTTAAAAGATGAAATTAGACCAAAAATGTTTATTAAAATTTTTATAAAATTTCAAACAATTTGACTGAATTTTCTATGACGAGCAATTTTTCCATCGACTTCATATATGAAACCGTACGATAAGCATTTTTCTTCTATGGATGTCAACCCGAGTGATATAAGTACGCAATATATCGCACTTTAATGATCTCAAATTCTCAAAATTAACAATTTTCTAACGCGCGTAACTTTACAAAAAAAATGACAGGCAAAATATAATTTCAAAAATTGAGCTCAGGATATGAATATCTCTCAGATTTTTAAAAGTTTCGTTTAAATAAAAAGTCGAAAAATGACTGAACAAAAAACTACACCAAGCGTAGATTTTGAGCATCAGCACTTTCTTCAAAAGTCGGAACAATAACCAGCCTCCAGTACCAAAAATAGGTTTGAATTAAGCTTCGTCATTATTTTCAATTGGGTATAATTATCTTTGTAATATGGTCTTTAGTTTTGAAGTTCCAACTTCGGTTTCTAACCTATATCGAAAATAAAAACATAGCAATTTTCTTGAGACCTCTGTACCAAAAGCAAAACACTATTGATGCACGGGGAGTTGAATAGGTCGCATAGATTCAGCCCGGGGAGTGCGGACACCCTGGTTTTGAGATACATTATAGAGTATCCGGTCCGCATTTTTTATTTTGAGATGGGGAATAAATTTCCCAATGTGTTAGGATGGATTATAGAGTTCCGGGTTTTAGATGGTAGGTTTCAGGGCTTCAAGTGGTTAGTTTTCTCAGCATCCAAATTCCCCATGTATCAAGATAGTGTTTTGATTTCCCTATGTATTGGGATTAGAAATAGATTTTCAATTTAAATAGATAAGGAACAGGTTTAAGAATTTTTGATGGTAGTTTTCAGATGGTAAGATAATAAGTCAAAAAGAATGTTGGCGCCGAGAGCAACAAATAAGCTTCTAAATAACTTCATGATAAAAAAAAAAAATCTTGTTAACCCAAGTGCGTCGTTTAAAAATAAGTGTTGAAAAAAAGTTAAATTACCGAGAAAATATTTCAATTTATTACGTGGTATACAGTTTTAGTGCATAATCGCTTACAAAATTAGAGGGTTTACTTTGTATACATCACATTCATTTTCCCGTTTAGGTTAAAAAAAGCTCAGTCCTTTCTTAGTTTGTTCATAAGTTGCAACTGTATGGTTAATCGTTTTCAATCCACCTTTACTTCACTGCCTAATCCAGTATTTGTCAATACTTAGCCATCGCTCCATCCCCAGAGTCTGCCTATCCGCGCTTGTTCAACCCTTTACTGCAAAGCTTAAATTTGTAATTTTAACTATCCAATACAACTTCTTGGTGCATCTGATCTCCTTCTTGAAATTCCAGCTCTCTTATATCATGTTTTTTCTTGTGTTTTTGTAGCAGCACGTACGGGGAAAAAGTTGCTTCTTGCGTCTGCTCTAAAATTGTTTCGACATCCCATATTTTGCTTATCAACCTACTCTGCTCGCTTGCCGCGGAATATACAATCATAAAAATTTTCTTCTGTCAATGCCAAACAGAAAAAATCAGTATCCATTTCGAGATCTTCAAAGTTGTTGACGTCGCAAGTTTTATCAAAAAAAATTATATACAGCTCCACATTCTCAACTCGGCATAGTGTAGTATTAAGAAATATACTATAATTGGTTCACGATATTCTGAAGTAAATTTAACAAGCTCCACTTCATAAAAATCTGTAGCTACAATTTTGAGTCTCTTCAAGAACTGGTTATTGATAACTTCATGGGTTGGTTTTTTCGTCTCCAAGAAACTTTGTCATTGTCAGTTTTGATCTCTCCATTGTTTGGTAGCCATAGTTGCTATTTCCTCGCAGTTTTCTTGTTTCGGCTATCACACTAGATAATGGATTTTCGTCAGCTGCTCGCCCAACATCAACAACAGACTGAGCTAAATTGTTGAATACTTTTTGAGGTGTGTATTTTACAAATCGATGAACTATTTGCACGGTTTCCAACATCCAAGTAAAAGTTAAAAAGTGGTGTAGTAAGTGTCCCATCTTGTAACATCGAGATTTTCGAAAATTGATGGGAAGTTGGAAAATTTTAGTTCGTCTGGAACAAAAAGATTGCTTCTGTAAAAATAAGATCCCACCAACTACGCACTACACTCCCACGTTTTTTCTATGGAGTATCGTTTTATTCTCGAAAGCAATTCTTTCGAATGTCGTCAACTTTAGTTAGTTTTTGTTAAAACCGATGTTTTTGAAAGTTGGTGAGAACCTGGAGAGATTTTTTGTAATTTTTCTGGAACAAAAAGATCGCTTTTGGAAGGTTTTTATCCCACCAACTACACTCCCACGTTTTTAAAAAGAGTATCTTTCTTCATTAATGCATTCTTTTTGATGAGCGTCCATTTGTCTTTTCTTGCTTGCTCGTTTGATATCATCATCAATAAGACAAGGATGAAAATAGAAACACAAACCCATTGCTTCAAAAGCAGTCTAAGAATTGTTCCAATAACTATCAACA